CAAAGGACACACCGACAAAGGAGATTAATCAGAACTGACTTTGACAAGCACTGTGGCAATTGGACAATTAAAACAGATATTCGGATGGCAGGGAAGAAGAACAAACTGGGGAGGAGGATAGAGAGAATGGTGCAGTAATGAAGGAATGAAAACCAAAATCCCTGTAAATGTTCATTAAAACTAATAAAATTTAATAAAAAAAAAAAGAAAGAAAAAGTAAGTATGACTCAATTAAATTTAACCACCGAGTTTAATAAAATATGAAGAAGGCACAGAGAGGAGACTGACCCCTATAAGCCCTTCAGCCATCCTTATCAGATGCTACCCTTCCACTTTTGATTAATTTAGTGAAAGCCTAAGCCAAAAGGCAATGAAATATATAACTTGTCAGGTGCCATTAGCCAGTAACTTCCTATGCAAGGGGTTTTTAAATGTAATTTAGACTCTAAGTGAATTTACTTGAGAGCTAACTTTTGAAACTGAGATTATTGTTTAACATGCCAACACAAGTTGTTATTATCAATAATATAAATCACTGAATTACACTCCAGATAAAAGACTTTTAACAGCAGACCTTATAATCAAGACATTTTCTGGTTCCAACAACTACTGCTGTTATGTACTGTCAAGCTGGAACCAACTCACAAGTGATACTCCAGCAGGCTTTCAGAGGTAGTAAATCACATTGGAGGAGACTGCCCATTTTTCTCCCTCAGAGTGGCTGGTAGATTTTGAACTAAGTGACTTTGGGTATGCAGTGCAACTCCTTACTACTATCTAAGCCACCAGAGCTCCCTCATAACTAGTTAGGTGAATTTATGCAATTTTTTTCTTTTTGATTCTTATTTTTACTCACCTGTAGTAAACGGATTTTGTAAAGTTTCTCTTTCTCCATATTATATCGTCTGTCTAGGTCTTCCTGAAAATTGAAAAAGGCTATAGTTAATGGGGAGTAATAAATTTTCATCGTAAGACAGAGTTTTGGAAATTAAATTTTTTGTTCTATCTCTTCTCATCTCTATTACTGCTGATTTCCTTCAAGTCAAGCACAGCTCAAAAGGCCTGAAGCTCCTCTACAACTATTGACATTTATCAAAGTTCTTAGTGTTTCCGGAGGCATGCTATTTAGGAAGTGGATGCCACTACTGCTTCTAAATCTGTCATAGTATGTTATTGTTGTTATGGACCATTGAGTTGCCTGTGACCCACTGCGACTGTATGTACAGCAGCTCTGTACCCTTCCCTTGTCCTGAGCCAGTCTCACTATTTCTGAAACACCAACTCCTATTGCGCCATTTACTGTATCAATCCATCTTGTCTGTGGTCTTCCTCTCCTGCACTGTCTGTCCTCCTTTCTGAGCATGATGCCTTCTCCAAGAACCTTTCTCCCCTAGCCATGTGCCCAAAGTGAGGCAGAGCCTCTAAATCCTAGCCTCCAAGGAAAGACTTGGTTTCACCCTCTCCAAGACAGAATAGATTTGTTTTCTTGGCAGTCCATGATATGTTCAAGACTCTCCTCCAGTACAACTTGAAGGCATCTATTCTTCTTCTGTCATCCTTAGTCACTGTCCAACTCTCTGCAGCGTAACAAGTAATTGAGAAGACTATGGCCTGGATTAAGCTCACCTTTGTATCTAGACAGACATGGTTGTTTTTCAGCACTCTGGAGAGAGGTCCATGACAGCAGATTTTCCCAGTGCAATTCATCTTTTGATTTCTTGACTGGTGGTGTTAAGACTGTTGATTGTGGATACGTGCAAGCTATAATAGCTAACAACCTCAATCTCTTCTCCATCTATTATGGTGCTGTCAACTGGCCCAATGGTGAGAATCTCTGTCTTTGATGTTGAGTTTCAATCCATACTGAAGACTACAGTCCTTGACCTTTTGCAGCAAGTGTTTCAGGTCTTCTTTGATTTCAGCAAGCAAGCAAGGTGTGTCATCTGCATATCATAGGTTGTTAATGAGTCTTCCTCCAATCTTGATGCTACACTCCTCCTCAGAAAGCCCTGCTTCTCAAATGATCTGTTCTGCATACAGATTGAAAAGGTACGGAGACAGGATACATACATCCCTGAAAGGATAGTTCTTTCCTGATTTTGAACCATGCAGTATTTCCTTGCTCTGTTGTGGGGACTGCTTCTTGTTCCAAGTATAGGTTTCGTATAAGCACGATCAAGTGTTCTGAGATTCCCATTTTCCTCAAGGCTAGCCACAATTTATTGTGATCCACACAGTCAAATGCCTTTGCATAGTCAATGAAACACAAATAGACATTCTTCTGGTACTCTCTGCTTTCTGCCAAGATACACCTGACATTGACAATAATGTTCCCAGTGTCACGACATCTTCTAAACCTAGCTTGTATTTCTGGTAGTTCTCTGTCAATGTACTGTTCAACTCTTTTCTGGATAACCTTCAACAGGTGTGTGATGTTAGTGATTTTGTTTGATAATTTCCACTCTTGGTCAGGTCATCTTCTTTTTTTTTAAAAATTTATTATTAATTTCAATGAAAATTTACAGAGACTCTGGATTTCCATTCATTCATTGTTTCATTTTTCTCCCCTCCCAACCATCCCCCCTAGTACACTACCCTCTTGGAAAAGTATAATTATTTCATTGTTTTACAATCCCTCTCCCCAGGTCCACTCCACTATACACCCTTCACTCTGGACTCCTGTCATGACAAAAACACCTAATAATATATCCCTCTTAAATAGTTTTCTTGCTCATCTGTTTCAATGCAGTATACATTATTGAACCCATCTTTCTCAGTCTCCCTCCAAACCCACTGTCAGTCCTGTTTTACAACAGTGGCACCATGCAGTATTTGTCCTTTTGTGACTGAGATACTTCACTCAGCATAATGTTCTCCAGGGTCACCCATTTTGAATAATATTGCATGAGTTCCTTTTTTTTTTTCAATACACCATAGTATTCCATTGTGTGAATATAACACAGCTTCTCAATCCATTCGTTTGTTGATAGGCACTTAGGTTGTTTCCAACTTCCTATTGTGAACAATGCTGTGATAAACATGGGTGTGCATGTCACCTTCTTTTGGAATGGGAACAAATATAGATCTCTTCCAGTCAGTTGGCCAAGTTGTGGTCTCCAGATTTCTTGGCACAACTTGGTGAGCACATGCAGGGCAGCATCTGTTTGCTGAAATATATCAATTGGTATTTCATCAATTCCTGGGGCTTTATTCTTGTCAAGTCCTTCAGCAGCCTGCACTTCCTCCTTCATCATCATTACCTCTTGCTCATACGCTGTTTCTTGAAATTAGCTCCCAAATTTCTCAGATGGCAGAGTTTACAGTCTGGATGGGTTCTATGTCATGTGAGATTCCTAACAATCTTTCACATTTCATTATAATAACTTTTATTCTTCTTGGATCGAAGGTAAATTTAGTGTTGTTTTTTTTTTTTAATTTATTTTATCTCATTATTTTTTGTGTGTACCGTCAAATCAGATCTGACTGGTACAGGAGGAGATTGTTCCTCCTTCTCCAGCAGAACATCTGGTGGATTTGAACCATGTATCTCTCAAATTGCAGTTGCAGCTTCTCGCTACTAGGCCACCAGAGCTCACCAAATTTAGTGTTCTTAAGCTATCCTCACATGCATCCTTGTTGCTAAAAACTGTAACAATGAGGAGAAAAATCATTACTTAAAGAATCCTTTGTTGTATTTTTCTGAGTTTGAGGAGGATGCTAAGTTGCTTTCTATGTTTCTTTTTAGAGCTACGGTGTTCAAAAGGATAGTGACTAGCCACATAAGGCCCTTTAGGTTTATATGAACAAAAATTTAAGAAATTAGTTTCACAATTATACTAACTATAGTTCAGTGCTCAGTAGTCAATATGCAGCTAGTGAATGTGGTATTGAACACTAAATACAGAATCTTCCATCATTGAAGAACATTCTTTTGGATAGCACTTATTTAATGGAAATAGAGACTGGGGGGTTTAGTGGCAGAACTCACATCTTTTACATAAAAGATCTATGTTCATTTCTAGCCAATGTGTCTTGTGCATAGTCACCAAATGCTCGGGAATTGTGTGTACTGCTATGGTAACAAAGAGGTTTCTGTAGAGTTTACAGAGTAAGACAGATTACAAAAAGCCTGATTCAAAATCACCAGCCAATGAAAACTCAGTGGATCAAAATAATCTAATCTCACAAGATCCATGTGGCTGACTCAAAGACAGCTAACAATAATCCCTCAGTGAACATCATAAGATAAGCAACATTACTACATCATTTGCTGCCTCAGAGGAAGTTATAAAAAGGAGTCAGAGGTCAGAGGTATTATTCTCTTCCAGTGTGAATGTCCTCAAAGAAACAACATACTCAGCTGGGGGCAAATCCCAAGGAGTCCTAAAGCTCATTCTTTTGAGCCAGAGGGCACAAAAGGAGGAGAAACTTCAAAAGAAGCAAAAGTTTAGGGGCATTCTTGCTTCTCTTTTCCTTATTTTCTTCCTTCCTTTTCCTTAAAAGTTTGCTGGTGTGCTGGTGTATTGAGAATACTAGATTATACTCAGAAGAGTCAGTAAACTCAAGTCTTGGGAAAATATAGTCAATCTTCTCCCATGCAACTTACAGACTGAAAACTGGCTGGGAGGTCAGCTATGAGTCAATTCTGACTTCTTGGCGTTTAACAAAAACAAACTATAGTTAGGTGGTTAAATTTTATAGCCCTTTGGCTAAATTTTCCTCTCCAACTACTTTTATACTTAAAATGGGACCCCATTTTAAAGTTTACTGAACAAAGCTATATCCATTTATTTAGAAATGGTGCTGCCAATGCAAAGGTATGTGGTTCAAATCTACTAATTGCTCTGTGGGAGAAGGACAAGCAACCTCCTCCTGGGTTATTTGCTGCCTCTGAAAATCCATTTGAAGGCATACAATAACAACATGGCGGCCACAGCAGTTTACTAGTTGACAGTTTGGGCAACAAAGCGAAATACATTTACAATCCGGTCTTTGATAGAAAATTGATTCTAGATTTTAGTACTATGGAGAGGTATTTCCCTCTGCATAGCCCCCTGCCACAAAACCAGTGACTTGTTAGCAGATATGAAGTCAATACAGGTCTAACTTCTTTTCAGATTAAAACAAACTGGAGAAAACCTCACTAGAATGGTGGTCTTCAAGACAGTCTTTACAAAACAACTATGAGATACCATCTAACCCCAGTAAGAATATCAAAATTTAACAGAACAGCAAGCAACAAATGCTGGTGAGGTTGTGGAGAAACTGGAACCCTTATTCACTGTTAGTAGAAGTGTAAAATGGTGCAACCACTATGGAAAATGGTGTGACGCTTTCTCAAAAAGCTGCAAATAGAGATACCATTTGACCCAGCAATTCCACTACTGGGAATATACCCTAAAGAAACCATAAATGATGTCCAAGCAGATATATGAACACTCATGTTTACTGCGGCTTTGTTTCCAATAGCAAGGAATTGGAAACAACCCAAGTGCCCATAAACAAATGAATGGATAGAGAAGCTGTGGTATATTCACACAATGGAATACTACACTGCATTGAAAAACAAGGAACTCATGCAATATTATTAAAAATGGGTGACCCTGGAGGACATTATGCTGAGTGAATTGTCTCAGTCACAAAAGGACAAATATTACATGGTGCCACTGTTGTAGAATGGGACTGACATCAGGGTTGGGGTAAGACTGAGAAAAACTGGATAGATTATATATACTTCATTGAAACAGATGAGGGAGAGAACAAATTAAAAGCAATATATGATAGGGTATTATAGTTATCACAAGAGTCTAGAATTAAGGTTGCATAGTGGAGTGTACTTGGGGCAGTGGAGGTGAGGGTGCAGGGGGACTGTATACCAATTAAAGAATTTTTGTTTTACTTTTCAAAGAGAGGCGTGAACTGGGGGTGGGGGGAGGGCTGAGCAGTGAGAAAAGTGCAACAATGAATGAATTGAAATAAAAAAATCTCTGTAAATGTTCATTAAAATTAATAAAATAAAATTTAAAAAAAACCCAACAACAAAACAAAACAAAAGACAGTCTCTAGGATGATCTTATTTCCATCAGAGGGTCCGAGTGTACAAGATGGGACCACACCAATTACCTGAAGGCCCAGTATAGGAGGGAATGGCAAAAGAGTAAATTAAAGTGGGTATGTATTATGAGGGAGTAAAAATCTACTTATCCCCAGACCCCAGGGTATGAGATAGTACTGAATAAGTACAGGTACCTACATTATAAGTCATCAAAGAGGTCAGGTCACTGTGCGATTCCCCATTGGCAAGGGTCTGAAATGATAAAAAAATAATAACCTTATTTTTTAGATTAAGGGATAGGATGTAAGCTGAGTTATAGATATAGAAAGGTGGTAGGATAAGACCAGAGTTAAGAAAAGCTTTCAAGATAATTAAGCATGCCTGATATCTAGAGACCACAGCTATATGACACTGTCCGAGATATAAAATTTTTCTCAAAAGTCTAAGATAAACATATACTAGCAACTTAAACTGCAACTCTGCTCAAATGTAAGAATTCACCTACAAAATGTAACTATTGGGAAAAGAGATGGTTTTCAAGCTCAGAGCCTGACTCAAATGATGTGTCTTCAAGATCTAGAGTATAGAAAATCCACAAAGGCTGCTAATGCACTCCAGGGCTAAATACTCTGCTATTCTCCTTTAGCCGTGTTCTCACAACGTGAATCTGGACAGTCTCACATAAATGATATAACTGCGGTACAAAAAGAGGCTTCTGTGCTCTACCTGACAGGCAGAGTCAAGTCTAAAGGTGTGACGAGTGTATCACTGAGCAATGGGCTGGATTCAGGGACTCTGCAGTTGGCTGAATTCAAATTTTGAATCTTAAAATCTCTACTAGACCAAGGCACCATGGTTTTAAGTTCATGCCCAGCTCTTTTGTTATAAATATGAGGCTCCTCAGGAAAAAGCCTGGAATGAAATATGAGGAAATAAAAGAAAAATGTAGTGATTCTCACAATTTTAGGTGAGGAGAGACCCTATCACCCTATTTTTAATTGATGGATAATAGAAATTCATTCTTGCTTCTTAGAAGATTAATTCCCTTCTTCAGAGAACCAGCTGATCAGATATGCTCCTTAGACTACCAATTCTCATGAATGACTAGGGACACACTAACACTGCTTATATTAAATTGCTGCTCTTTGGGCACTTCTCTAGGCAAGGATGAAAGATGATTTAAGTCAAAGGAAACAAAATTTAGAGTAGAACTAATTTGAGAGAGGAACAAGGCTCAGTTCTTGGAAACTTCTCCTATCTAAATACACAAGGAAGAGCCAAAATTATATAAAAAATTATATAATCTTGTCATTCTAGTCTGGGGCTGCTGTCATTCACATCCACGGCAATCTTTTTTCCTCCAAACACAGAGAACAGAGAGGATCAGAAACATTTAAAAAAACCCCAAAATTTAAAACAAAACAAAACAAAACAAAAAAACAATCCACAAAACCCAAAACCAAATCATGGAATAAACACCTTTGATATGTATTTTGAAGACTAAGTAAGCCTTTTAAAGAGCAAGCTGTTTTACTAAAAAGAATTAGATGACAATGAAAAATTTCAGAAAGTACCATATGAAAATGAGCCAGTAATAATGACAGATGAAGTTCAAGCTGCACTGAAAGTATTAACAAAAAGTAAGGCCTCAAGAATTGGTGGGATTCCAATTGGTATGTTTCAACTAACAGATACAGCTCTAGATATGCTCACAAGTTTATGCCAGTAAATTTGGAGGGCCGCTACCTGCTCAGCTAAGATGGGGACATATTTGTCCCCATCCCCAAGAAAGGTGATCCTACAGAATGTGGAAATTACTGAAAAATATCATTAATATCATATGCAAACAAAAATGCTGCTGAAAAGAATTTAAAAATGGCTAGGACAGTACACAGATGGGAAACTGCCAGAAGTACAAGTAGGATATAGAAGAGGCTGTGGCACCAGCAATATCACTGCTAATGTCACATGGATCCAGGCTGAAAGTAAAGAATACCAGAAAAATGTTTATTTGGGCTTTATTTCTATGCATTTGACTGTGTGGATCACAACAACTTAAAGCTAACATTCAGAAGAGAAATTACGAAACACTTAACTGTGTTCATGTTAAACCTAAACCTGGCCCAAGAGGCTGTTGTGTCAATGGAATAATGGAAAACTGCATGGTTCTTAGGAGAGTAGTGTGTCTAGAGTTATCTATTCAATCTGTATGTTTATAGTTCCAGAGCCTGGACTATTATGCCTTACATAATATGAACATGTTGCTAGAAGAAGGAATTCCTTGGAAAAGGACATCATGCTTATAAAGAAGAGGGTCACTGAAGGAGAGAAAGACCCTCAATGAGATGGAATGATGCATAGAGTCATCTCTATAAGGAAGAATGTGGCATCAGGACTCAATAACCTGCCTTATGCAAATGTCACAACACAACCTTGCTTGCTGAAAGTAAGGAGAACTTGAAGAATCTGCTGCAGATCAAGGACTCTAGCCTTTAGTATAAATTACATCTCAACATCTAGACAACAAAGTTCCTCACCACAGGACTAACCTGTCAATATTATGACAGATGGAGAAAAGATTAAAGCTGTCAATGATTTCATGTTCCTTGGATCAATAATCAACATCACTGGTAACAGCAGTCAGGAGAGCAGGAAATGTACTGCATTGGACAAGTTCACTGTCAGGGATTTCTCCAAAATGCTGAAGAGCAATGATGTCAGTATGAAGACTAAGGTGTGCCTGATTCAGGAGAGCTGGACAATAAATAAGGAGAACAGAAGAACGAATGCCTTTGAGTGGTGGTGCTGGAGAAGAGTACTCATGGACTGCCAAAAGACAAAGAGATATGTCTTGGAGAAAGTGCAACTAGAGTGTTCCTTGGACACAAAGAGAGTGAAACTGTTTTTCATACTTCAGACATGTAGCTAGGTGAGGCTACTCACTGGAGAGGGATATAATGCTGGAAAGATGGGGGTTGGTCGATGGAGGAGATGAAGACCCCAATGAGATGACAAGGTAATTTCAGTAATGGCTTGAGAGTGTTTCAGAGTTGGGAAGAATGGCACATAATAGGGCAGGGTTTAAGATGGTTGTTCAGAGGGCCTCTATCAGTCACACTAAATCTGACAGCACCTAACAAGAACAATGGCTGTTAAGAAGTAACTCGGATTTTTTACCTTTTCAACTCCAGCTGGTGCTTCTTCAGCTTTCAGGTTTCCAATTTCCTGCTGTAGTCGTGTCATCTCCTCCTTTAAAAGAAACATAACCATTAATATAACTGATTAAATTAGTGACTGGACGCAATTATCTAAAACCATATTTCAAATTTCTCACTTTCATGTTTTCCGAGTTTTATGCTGGGGCAAAAATGCCATTAGGAACTTTTAGCTTAACTTCATCTTATTGCTGAGAATACACTCAACTGCATTTTACTCAAGAGTACCCGTTCTTTAAACCATAGATGAGCAAAGTAGTGATATGTGAGAAATGAAGTGTCTTAGAGCCTGGTTCCAGTGAGCGCCTCAGTATTCTCTCCTAACAGATCTCAGACTCATCCACATGCCCACCTCACCTAGGGCCTCTCATCTTAAGAGTCTTGCATTACTGACTCCTTTTCTTTCTTCTATTTTACTTGCTTTAAAGAAGACATAGCTGTTTGTGCTCCTTTACTGCTCCACAGCTCACACAGAATAATCAGCCTACCCACAGCCTCTTGAGTTCATGCCAAATTCACAAGTAAACCTTTCTCTAGATGGCATGAACAAGAAAGAGTAATTTTCAGAAATCCCTATGGTGTGCACGATCTAACTACTTTCACAAAGATTATGTACCAACTAAAGAAGAGATATTTTAAAAATTGTGTTTAAAATAGATTTACATTATACTAAAAAACCCTTTTTTAAAGAGTATAAATTCAATTTTGTGGTATAATACACATAGATACTAATCTAATTTCACTTCTAGTATCCTTGGAAGGTACTTATTATAATGTTGTTTTAGGCCAGAACCCAGCGGGGCTAGAACCCAGCGTGGCTGGAACCCGGAACCCAGCGCAGCCAGAGAGTTGGAATTTGAACCACAAACAGGACAGCTGAGTCCCAGCCAAAGGACACCAGCCAAACTGTGGAATCTACCCACCAGGAGCAAGCAGGGACCAACTGCCTGCCACCCTGTGACTCTGGGGAAGCAACCCACTGCCCCCAGCTTCCACGAGATCTCAGAGGAGCAAATTCTGCCAACCGCTGTGTGACCCCAGAGGAGCAACAGCCTGCCACTGTGTAACCCCCTGCAGCTGGCCACCCACCGTTACATGACCCCTACAGCGTGGCCTGCTGCTGCATAAACCGCCAGTGGCACCCAAGCTCTGCCCCTGCCTCTCTGTCTTAGTGACCCAGCTCTGTGCCCCTACGCCCTCCAAGCCCCATGCTTCCTCCCCCTCCCCCCACCGTGGCAGCTCCACAACCACACGCCTGCACCCCTGCCAACAGCCCTGTGACCCCAGTGGCGCCCAAAGGCCACTAGAAAGAGTCCTTCATGCTGCACAGAGACCAACCAACCTGACGAGGTGTAGACAGTAGGATTTTGAATCAGAACTTCTGTTGCAGAAGTTCCTTTTGGAGCTACAGGAACACAAAGCCATGCCACATATCCAGCCATTGCCCAAAGCCACCAGCCGAGCTGCAGTGGGACTAATCTGGCAAGAGAAAGGCTGGTAGGATCCTAACTGGGTTTCTGGGGCATTGCCAATTACCTGGGGGAGCACCCAAGGGCTTACCCACTGGTGGGGAATTTGGCTGAGCTCTCTTGGGTCATACCAATTGCCCAGGAAAGAGCCTGCCACTGGTAATCTCTCTGAACTTTTGTGGACTCTGAGAATGAGCCAGAGGCTACTGGGTCAGTGGGAATTTAACTTGGACTTTTTGGGTCCTGTTGGATCCAGGACCTTGCTTGGGCAGGGGCTGCTGCAAGAGGGCATTGCATAAGTGCCACTGGGCAGGGACCACTGAGTGAAAACCACCTGGATGGGAAATGGACAGCAGGAATTTGAGTAGGGACCCCAATCATGAGCACACCAGCATAGTTGAGGTCTGAGTGAGGAACCCCAAATGTTTGACCTGATCTTGCGATCACCCCAACCCTGTGCCTGCCTCACTCCATTTGGCTCCACATAGGTGCCTACACATCTGGGCAATCAACTTGCCTTTAATCGCAGCCCCTTGACCTTTCTTGCCAACAAGAGGTTGCTCTCACAGGCTCTGAACTGACACTTCCCTGAAGTTAGAAGTTCAGAGAAACACACAAGTGGGGTAACTTCCCAACTGATCTCTAGAGCATTGTCTTCAGATCAAGAACATATCAATGTCTCACTCAAAGACAGCAAGCTATCCCACACAATAAACAAGAGCAAAGCAAGATGTCACCCCCAAAGGGTGACACAGTATCAGTGGATTTCCTGAGTCCAGAAAGTCTGATGGAACTTTCTGACACAGAATTTAAGAAAAGTGACTGAATATATTAAATGGATAAAAGACAAACTTTGACGAATTATAGGACACTACAAGCAAAAATCAGGAGGAGCTCAAAAAAACAATGCAGAAGAATGCAGAGAAAACAAACAAGGCAATAGCAGCACTAGAAAAACAAGAATCCACTATCCAAAATATAAGGTCCAAAGTTTCAGAGATTGTCAACATGATGGAGGGACACATGAGCAGAGTTGAAGAGATGGAACACAGAACCAGTGAAATAGAAGATAGAATTGTCATCACTGATCTCCTAGAGCAAAAAGCAGACTCAAAAAAGAAGGAAAAAGAAGAAAACCTAAGAATAATGTGGGATACCATCAAGAGAAATAAATGTGTTTCATTGGAATCGCAGTAAAGAAGTAAAGGCACTGAAAAAGTTGTGGAAGAATTACTAGAGGAAAACTTCCCAGGCATAATAAAGAACAAGAGAATATATATTCAAGAAGCTCAGCAAACACCACATAGAAGAGACCTCAAAAGAAAAACATCAAGGCATATCATAGTTAAACTTGCCAGAACTAAAGATAAGGAGAGAATCCTAAGAGCAGCAAGAAAGAAACAAGAGTAACCTATTAGGGAGAACAGATAAGATTAAGTGCCGATTTCTCAGCAGAAACCATGCAGGCAAGAAGGGAATGGAAGGACATATATCAAACACTCAAAGAACAAAACTGTCAACCAAGAATACTGTACCCAGAAAAATTATCCATCAAATATGAAGGAGAGCTCAAGATAATCCCATAAAAGCAGAACCTCAGAGAGTTTGTAAAAACAAGAACAGTGGTGCAGGAAAGACTCAGAGATGTCCTTTTTACAGACATACCACAGAAAGCTGTATGGTCCAAAGTAACTAGCAACAACACCAAAAAGAACTCACTCAACAAAATGATAGCAATAAAACCTAGCCTCTCAATAGTCACACTGGATAGGAATGGTTTAAATGCACTGCTGAAGAGGAAAACAGTAGCAGATTGGATAAAAAACACAAAATCCATCAATATGTTGTCTACAAGAGACACACCTGAAAAACGAAGATAAAGACTAAAAATAAAAGGGTGGGGAAAAACATAACAAGCAAATGGTAACCAGAAAAAAGCAGGATTAGCAATAGTAATTTCGGATAAAATAAATGTCAATGTAAAAACCATCATGAAGGACAAGGAAGGTCACTACATAATGTTTTAAGGGTCAATAAAACAAGAGGACATAACAATAATCTATATCTATGCACGAAATGAAAGACTTGTAAAATACATAAAACAAATATTAACAAAACTGAAAAAGGAAACACACAACACTACTATAGTACTTGGAGACTTTAATACACCCCTCTCAATAAAACAGAATTACCAGGGAAAAACTCAACATAGATACTGAAGAATTAAACCACACAATAAACCAACTTGACCTCATAGATATTTATAGGCTAATGCATCCAACAAAAGCACAGTGTACTTTCTTCTCCAATGTGCATGGAACATTCTCCAGAATAGATAGATCACTTTCTAGGTCACAAGGCAAGCATCAATGAATTAAAAAAACATAGAAATAATACAAAGCATCTTTTCAGACCCTAATGCTACAAAATCAGAAATTAATAAGAAGATAAAGAACACCACCTTGCTTAAACATGAGTGGATATTAGAAGAAATAAAAAAGGAAATTAACAAGTTTCTTGAAACAAATGACAATGAAAACACTACTTACCAAAACCTCTGGGAAACAGCCAAAGCAGTAATCAGAGCTCAATTTATAGCAATAAGCAAACACATCAAAAGGCAGGAAAATTGACCATTGAATCTCTAACCCAACATCTCCAGCAAACGGAAAAAGAATAGTAAGAAAACCCAAAACCTCTAAAAAAACAAAAATTACAAAAATTAGAGCAGAAATAAATGAAATAGAAAACAAAAACCATTGAAACTATCAACACAACTAAGAGTTGGGTCTTTGACAAGGACAATAAAATCGACAAACCACTAGGAAAACTCAAAAAAGAAAAGAAGAAGACACAAATAATCTGAATAAGAGATGACTCAGGCAACATCACAACAGAGCCAACTAAAATAAAAAAGCTAACATGAGAGTATTACGAAAAACTATACTCAAAACAAATATGAAAACCTAGAGGAAATGGACAAATACTTAGAAATACACAAGCTACCTAAACTGACATAAACCGAAATTGAACATCTGAACAGACCCATTACAAAAGAAGAAACTGAAAAGGTAATACAACAACTTCCAACCAAAAAAAGCCCTGGACGAGATGGTTTTACAAGTCAATTCTATCAAACATTCAGAGAAGAGCTGTCACCAATTCTACATAAATTATTTCAGAAAATAGAAAAAGATGGAATTCTCCCAGACTCGTTCAATGAAGTAAACATATCCTTTATACGAAAGGCAAAAAAGGACACCACCAAAATAGAAAACTATAGGCCAATATCTCTCATGAACATAGATGCAAAAATCCTGAATAAAATACTGGCCACTAGAATCCAATGATACATCAAAGAAATAATTCACCATGACCAAGTGGGATTAATAACAGGTATGATGCAAGGAAGGTTCAAGATAAGAAAAACAATTAATGTAATTCATCACATTAACAAAGCAAAGAACAAGAACCACATGATCCTATCAAAACACTCAACAAAATAGGATTAGAGGGGAATTTCTTCAACATAGTAAAAAGTATTTATGCAAACCTGAGAGCCAACATTGTTCTCAATGGAGAGAGGTTAAAGGCATTCCGTTTAAGAAAACGAACTAGGCAAGGATGCCCACTCTCACCTCTCTTCCAATATTGTATTGGAAGTCTTAGCGATAGTAATAAGAAAAGAGAAGGGAATAAAAGGTATCCAAATTGGCAAAGAGGAGGTAAAATTATCTCTGTATGCAGATGATATGATAGTATACTTAGAAAACCCTAAAGACTCAGCAAGAAAACTATTGGACACAGTGGACCAATTCAGGAAAGTAGCAAGATACAAGATCAACATACAAAAGTCTGTTGGATTTCTCTACAGTGACAAAGAGAATACAGAGTCAGAACTAAGAAAAACAATACCATTCACAATAGCTAATCACAAGATTAAATACTTGGGAGTAAATTTAACCAGAGGCACAAAGGATATTCAAAAGAAAATTATGAAACATTACTACAAGAAACAAAAAGAGACCCAGAAAAGTGGAAAAAAATCCCTGGCTCATGGATAGAAGACTCAATATTGTGAAAATGGCAATACTATCAAAGACAATTTACACGTTTAATGCAATCTCAATACAAATAGCAATCCCATTCTTCAACAAGATGGAAAAGGTAATCTCCAGTTTCATTTGGAATGGAAAGAAGCCCTGAATAAGCAAAGCACTCCTTAAAAATAGAAGAAAGGTAGGAGGCATCTCACTCCCTGATTTCAAATCCTACTAAATTGTCATGGTGGTTAAGACAGCATGGTACTGGTACAATGACAGACACATGGATCAATGGAATAGAATTAAGAACCCAGAAATCAGCCCATCTATCTACGGTCAACTGATTTTTGACAAGGAGATGAAATCAGTTAAGTGGGGAAATGACAGCCTTTTTAACAATTGGTGTTGGCAAATTTGGAAAAGTATCTGCAAAAGACTCAAGCAAGATCCACACCTCACACCATATAAAAAACCAACTCAAGGACCTAGGACTAAAACCACGTACTATAAACTTCATTAAAGAAAAGCTCAGAAGAATGCGACAAGTCCTAATCCACAACATAAACAGTCTTCCCAGTAGCCTGAAAAATGTACAACCAGGAGAAGACAAAATAGATGAATGGGACCTTCTAAAAATCAAACCCCTATGCACATTCAAAAACTTCTCCAACAGGGTAAAAAGGGAAGCCACAAACTGGAGAAATGTATTTGGTAATGATGTATCAGATAAGGACTTACATCCAGAATTTATAAAATTCTTGAGCACCACAACAAGATAAATAATGCAACTGAAAAATGGGCACAGGATATGAACAGACACTTCACCAAAGAAGACATTCAGATGGCCAACAACCACATGAAGAAATGTTAAAAATCTCTAGCTCTAAGAAAGATGCAAATTAAAACAACTATGAGATATCATCTCACCTCAGTCAGAATAGCAAAACTTAACAGAACAGCAAACAACAAATGCTGGCAAGGTTGTGGAGAAACTGGAACCCTTATTCACAGTTAGGGGACGTGTAAAATGGTGCAACCACTGTAGAAGGTGGTATGGCGCTTTCTCAAAAAGTTGCAAATAGAGATACCATTCGACCCAGCAATTCCACTACTGGGAATATACCCTAAAGAGACCATAACTGACATCCAAGCAGATATATGAACACCCATGTTTATTGTGGCTTTGTTCACAATAGCAAGGAGTTGGAAACAACCTAAGTACCCATCAACAAATGAATGGATAGAGAAGCTGTGGTATAGTCAAACAATGGAATAGTATGCTGCATTGAAAAACAAGGAACTCATGCAATATTATTCAAAATGGGTGACCCTGGAGGACAATATGCTGAGTGAAGTATCTCAGTCACAAAAGGACAAATACTGCATAGTGCCACTGTTGTAACACAGGACTGACATCAGGGTTGGGGGAACAGTGAGAAAGACTGATTCAATAATGTGTACTGCACTGAAACAGATAAGGGAGAAAACTGTTTAAAAGGGATATGTGATTAGGTATTATTGTCATGACAGGAGTCCAGAAGGAAGGCTGCATAGTGGAGTAGACCCGGGGAAGGATTTGTAAAACAATGAAATAATTTTTGTTTTACTTTTCCAAGAGGGTAGTGTACTAGGGGGGAGGGTTGGAAGGGGAGAGAAGTGCAACAATGAATAAATGGAAACCCAAAGTATCTGAAAATTTTCATTGAAATGAATAATAAATTTAAAAAATAAAGAAAAAAATGTTGTTCTAGTCATCTTATAAATGTTGATAAGTGAGTGCTTGGTGGGGAATAGAATAGAATAGAATAGAATAGAATAGAATAGAATAGAATAGAATAGAATAGAATAGAATAGAATAATATAATCAATATAACATAATATAATATACAAGGGAGGTAATCAAGAGATTTTTACTAAAGTGGCAATCAAATGTTTGGCAATACTTACTCGACAATGTGCTTTAAACTCCTGTTCCTGACTTTTTAGATGTTCATTCATGGCTACAAGCGCTCGCAAGCTCTGCAGAATACTGAAAAAATTGAAAACATGACACTTAGCAGGCCATTATGATGTTATGAACCACAGTTAACGTTGGATGGGCCCCTAGCTAAAAATGGACTAACTCATTAATTTCCTTTCTTTGACCCAAGAATGCTAGATGGTTTATCAGCAAATGGTAGCAATTTTCATTAAACTTACATCACTGTTCATGTGTATGCACAAGTCTATCAGGAAACATCCAAGAAAGCATAACAGATTCCAAAATTACCATGTCAATGGCAGAAAAATCAATGAGTTCCAAGAGAATTGGATATATTTAAAATCCATTAATATCAACTCTGAAAAAAAACTAAGTTGTAAGGCCTTTACAAGCACTGATTTGATAATAAAAATGTCAAATACCCTGTTCCATATCATACTCGCTGCCTGAAACTTACAATTTCACAATCTACTTCAAATGAATAATACCTAGGGTATTTTACCATCCAAAAAGAATGGTGCTAAATTAAATAAGTCCGATGTATGTACTTTCTTTGTAAAGACAATCTTACGCACAAAACCCCCCCATATTATCTTCTATTAGTTGGTGGGGGAAAAGTGCTAAAGTGTACTCTTCAAAAATGGTGACAATACTTGACTATAATTGCCATGGTGCTTCAGACAGCATAGTACTGATACAATGACAGACATATAGATCAATGGAATAGAATTGAGAAACCAGAAATCAGACCATCTACCTATAGTCAACTGATTTTTGACAAGGAGATGAAATCAGTTAAGTGGGGAAACGACAGCCTTTTTAACAAATGGTGTTGGCAAAACTGGAAAAATATCTGCAGAAG